TTGCAAGTAGCAGCTAATTGCACCAGATCGCAAAGCGAATCAATCTGTGTGAAGATCAATGATCTCACTTCTGCAATATTCCATGCTTGATGCATAATAGACATCAAAAAATTGAAGGTTTGGATGAATAAAGACGTTGATGTGCATGAGGAGTAAAATGGAATGTAATAAATATTTGTGATAAATTGTGCTGCCAAACAATGACAAGCTTGGATGCAAAGTATATAGCTTCACAAATTTTGAAAAGAAGAATACTTTCTGGATTGAGCAATGAGTGATATTGATTGTACAAGGTGCATATGACATATAAAAAGAGCTAAAGACGACAGTGAATAGAACATCATTCAACTTTTGCTTTCTTGCGAGGAGGTTTGACGACATCAACAACAATCATGTTGGCATTCTCAGAGTTAATCCGCAGCTTAGTGGCCTGAAAGAACTTGATGTCAAAAGGAGTCTGCCCTGCGAGAGCAAAATCTAAATATTGATAAGCACTTGCAAAATACAATAACTATACATTACTCACCAACGGATGGGGCTCTCCACGACGTGGGTTCCCAATCACACTGCCATTCAATGTTGTACTTCTCCTTCTCCTCGAGGGCGAGAGAGCGCGAAGGAACACGTTCTTTATATGCCCATGCAGCCTTCAGAATCGGATCCACCTCAAGAATGTTGGCAATCTGTTTACTGAGCAAATGGGAGGTGCAACGGGGGACTCCACCATAACTCTTTGCTTCAGCAAGGCTTTTGTAGTCTGATAGACTAGCCAAAATCTGAACAAAAAAAAGAGATATCAGATCGTCGGCAAGACCATCCAGTGGGCCAGTGAAAGTGGCACAGGAATGGAGCCACTTGAGGATGTGTAAAGCCATGCCACGTGCATAACAATACGTGATTCTTTCATTGTTGGGAATGGCATTGATGTCACCAGTGTCCATCAATGTTCTTTGGGTAGGAGAGGCTTCATCATCTTCCCCTTGATTTGGAGTGCTGTAAGTCCTGAAATCCAGAACATTGCCAAGAATAATCAGGACTGCAAGACAGATGATATGGAGCACGCCCTCCATTGTCTCGATGTTAGGTAGATGAACTGATGCAGGATCTGCAAGTGGAAATGAGTCAAAGATATAAACAATGAGGGAAGAATCTCACCGTCGTCAGAGATGCCACCCTCAATGAGGCCAACTTGGTAGAAGATCAGGATCCTCCGCAATAGGTGACGAGAGGGAATATGCTCTGTCTTTGTTAAAAACTTGTTGAGAACAAAGGCATGTACAACGCCTTGCAGAGTCTCCTGCATAAGATACGAGGAATAGTAATGACTGCCCTGTGCAATCACATCATCTATGCCATATACCCAATGTGCAGAATTGGGCAGCATATGACTGCAATATCATGAGACAATGCCATGATTATCAACACAACACTCACAGTTCATCACCAGGC